TTGTTTTTTAATGTGATGTTGGGTTCTGTTGGCTAGGATTTTGTTGAGAATTTTTGTGTCTATGTTCATGAGGAATATTGGCCTATAGTTTTCTCTTTTAGTGATGTCCTTCCCTGGTTTGGGTATGAGGGTTATGCTTGCTTCATAAAAAGTATTAGGGAGTTTTCCATCCTCTTCTATATTCCGGAGTAATTTGAGTAGAATTGGTGATAGTTCTTCCCTGAATGTTTGGTAGAACTCTCCCATGAAGCCATCTGGGTCTGGACTTTTTTTGGTTGGGAGTTTTTTGATGTCCTGATCAATTTCTTCCTTTGTTATAAGTTTGTTCAAGCCTTCTACTTCATTCTGAGTAAGTTTAGGTAGGTCATGTTTTTCTAGAAATATTTCCATCTCTTCTAAGTTTTCAAATTTGTTGGAGTACAACTCTTCATAGTACTCTGTTATTATCCTTTTGATTTCGTTTGGTTCCGTTGTGACATTGCCCACATGGTTTCTAATGTGAATTATTTGTGTCTTCTCCCTCTTTTCTTTTGTTAGTTTTGCCATGGTTTGTCAATTTTATTAATCCTTTCAAAGCACCAGCTTCTTGTCTTGTTTATTCTTTCTATAGTTTTCGATTTTCCATCTCATTTATTTCTGCTTTTATCTTTATTATTTACTTTCTTTTGGTGACTGTAGGTTCCCTCTGCTGGTCTGTTTCTAATTGTTGGAGATGCTGTGTTGTTGTGTTAATTTTGGTTCTTTCCTCTTTTTGGATGTGCACGTTTATCACAATAAATTGTCCTCTCAGCACTGCTTTCACTGCGTCCCAAAGAGTTTGGTATATTGTGTTTTCATTCTCGTTTGTTTCTAGGAACTTTTAGAATTAATATCTTCTTTTACCCAGTTGCTTTTCAACAGGGTGCTGTGCAGTTTCCATGTATTTGACTTTATTGTTTTGGCCTTCTGATTGTTGATTTCTAGTTTTATAGCATTGTGGTCTGAGAAGATGCCTAGTAGAATTTTTATGTTTGTAAATTTATGGAGGCTTGCTTTGTGACCTAACACATGGTCAATTCTGGAAAATGTTCCATGCACACTGGAGAAGAATGTATGTTATGCTATTGTTGGATTGAATGCTCTATATGCAGCTATGAGGTCAAGTTGGTTGATTGTTTTGTTTAGTTCCTCTTTAACTTTGTCGAGTTTCTTTCTGGTTGTTCTGTCCCTTTTCGAAAGTGACATGTTAAAATCTCCCACTATAATTGTAGATTTATCTATTTCTTTCTTTAATTCTAAGTGCCCATCAACTGAAGGATGGATAAACAAACTGTGGTACATACACACAATTGAATACTATGCTACCTTGAAGAACAACAAGTAAACTGTACGCTACCATATAACATGGATGAATCTTGAGGAAATCATGTTGCGTGAAAGTAGTCAGTCACAAAGGAGAAATACTGCATAGGACCACTATTATAAAAGACTAAGGAAAAGCACCCATACTGAAAGGCAGGAGAGGTGAAGTCTTTACTGGTTACAGGGATGAGGGGAGCAGAGTGAGGGGATGGAAGGGATGGTGGAGCACTGGTTAGGAAACAGATACTGGATAGTTTGGGTGCTGGTGAGGGTGGCAGTACACAAGAAGGGGGAGGGGAATGGAAGAACAAGGTGGAAGGGAGAACAGTTAAGCAGGTTTATATGGGCTAAGTGAGACAGAGGTAAATAATGATGTATATACAACCGTGGAACAACAGGGCTTTTGGATATAGGGATTGAGGTATGGTTGGAATCAGCAAAAGGGGGGAAATAATGTTAAGATGCTTAGCTGTCTTTTGAATCTTGGTTTCCCTTGCCAACCAATGTAAAATAGACACTTGATGGGGAGAGAAAGGAACAGCCAGAAATAACACCATAGAAAGCTTGTAAGTCCAGCTTCTGCCTATAACTGATTGGAATACCTAAAATGGGGCTACAATTTGCCCAGTGAAGGAGGCTTCCTGTGGAGCCTTTGCATTGTTGAAGACCATATGTGGAATCCTGAACCCCATCCAGAATCTTCTGAGGTGGGAAATTTCCACTTGAAAGTACAAGCAGACCAGCCTGGAGCAGCTAGAAGAACAGAAGATACTTCTTGAAAGAAAGACCGACAGGAAAAATACAAAACAATAACAGCAGTCCGACTAACTATTACAAGAACAACCAAGGTTCCCGCCCAGGAGACATCAAGGCAAGCAGTCGGGTCCTCTCAGGGGATACCCCCTCCCAAGGCTAAGACTCAAGGGGAATCCACGAGCAGACACATGCTCTGAGTGCTGACCAAGTTGGTCACGGATAAGGGGAAGTGAGAGAAAACCAGCAATGAAGCTGCGAGCTAAGTCCAACCACATTCAATACACTCCTATGTACCAGGTGGAGAGCTGGTTTGCCAGCAGTGTGGCAAGACCTGGGGACTCTTGGGCCCAGAGTCAGTGACATAGCCACAGAGGGCTAGAGTGCAGAGTGAAGTGTCCAGCTGATAAGAAGAGAGGGCATATGCATAAGAACATCCACACTTGCAGATAATACCCACTTGACCTGGTTTTAATGGCTGGATGATCAGAGCTCAACTAGAAGAAGAAAGAAGAGGGGGAAAAGAGTAATCTGATACAATTAGATGAACTTGACCTACACCTATGGATGCAGTTGCTCGAAAGAGAGAACAAATCTTTACAGTGAGGATCATTCCCACCCCCCAATACACAGGGTAGAAAGGGATGGGCAACTTGAACATTGGCTACCCAAAATGTGTGTGTGGGGTGGGAGGGGCGGCAGCTACAAAGGCAAGAAGTGACTGGCTTACAAGCTTTTATGAGGGAGCCTAGATCCAGAGGGCACAGAGGAAGGTAGACTCTCCACTGAGTACTATCCAATCTGTCTGGGTGGGACTGATGAAAGGAGATGGGGATAGCACTCATGTGGTACAATAGTAAATAATTACTATCAGGACTGACTGTGAGGGTTAGAAATGTAAAGTTAGACATTTTGTAGCAAAAGGAGGGGATTGGTTGACTTTGCAGTCCAGGAGCAAAGGTCCCTGGGATCATCAGGGGAGAAGAGTGGAGTGTGGGACCCTACCCAGAGAAACAGTGATGCCAGAGATGGAGGCAGAGACAATGACGTTGAGAGATGGAGTGGCTGGGAACTCTAGACCCAGAGAGGGTGAGGGGCTTACAGGGTGTACTCTTTGGTTGGTGGATGCTGCAAGGAGGGGATTGTAACCTGGTAATGTAACAATATATGATAGGATGAATGTAAAGCTAATGTTCTCCTGTGAAAACTGTCACATAATTCACAATAAAACATTTTTTTAAAAAAAAGAAAACTTCCAAAGTTGTGTCCAAAGGTCTAGACAAAAGTTATAGTGGGGAAATACATTTTATATAAGTCAATTTCTAGCTTACATTTTGCTTTGTACTTTTTTCTTTGTAAAAAAATGACTTTGTCCTGAATTACTCAACCATTTTATTTTGATGTATTCTGTGTTTTCACATGAGTTGAAACTGAAGTAACTTTAGAAACAGGTAAAACAACGATTCTTGTTTGGTACTAATTATGGAAGCATCATGTGAATTTTAGACCTTTTCCAGGATAAGATTATGGCAGTAATTGCTCTATTTCTTAGAATGTTGGTTCAAGTCTGAAAATGCTTTTGGAAGAAAATAAAATTCTGACTTCCAGAATTTAGTAGGCAAAGTTACCCAGTGCATACTCACATCGTGTTAGTAGTATTGATGACGATGTTTAAAATTTATAGTGTTTTCAGTCATTAAAATGTTTTTTCTTCTTTTCAGTCTGGAGCTCTTGGAGGAAAATGCTATCTAATTGGCACATCAGTAATTCAACGATTAAATATTTTTCCAAATAGTTTTTGCAAGGTAAGATACTCTTTTTGCCTTTAAACTAAAACTGTCTAGGAGCTATTTAGGAGCCCTAGTGAAGCTGCCAGATAAGCACTGGACTGCTACCTGCAAGGCTGGTAGTTAAACTCAGCAGTCACTCTGGGAGAAAGATGCGGCTGTCTGTTCTGGTAAAGATGCTCAGAAACCCCACATAGGGTCGCTGTGGGCTGGCATCGACTCAATGGGAATGCGCTTTTTTGGTTTGGAAGGCATTTAGGGAACACTAGTGGTGCAATCGGAAACTCATAGGGTCGCTATGAGTTGGCATCAACTTGATGGCAGTTGACAACAACAACAAAGAGGTTCAATGGTCAAGCACTCAGCTGCTAACCAGAAGTTTAGTGGTTGGAATCCCCCAGCCAATTCACAGGAGAAAAGATGTACCAATCTTCTCTGTAATGATTATAGCCTAGGGAACCTTAATTGTTGCTGCTGTAACCTGCCGTCGAGTCAGTTCCAACTCATCTTGACCCTGTATAGGGTTTCTGAAGAGTGACTGGTGAGTTTGAACTGCTGACCTTGCAGTACAAACCAACCTCGTGGTCCAGTGCTTACCTTACACTGCCACACATAGTTTTACTCTGTCCTGTAGGTTTGCTATGAGTCAGAATCAACACCACAGCACACAACTACAAGAGACATTTGAGCAGGAAACTGTTAGATCATTATAATCAATCATCTCTGAAGTCTGACTGGTCATTTTTAAAGTGTGAGTTGCCAGGTTTGGGGCAGTATGAGCTTTGGTCTCCCATTCTTTCTCCCTTCCAGCTTTTCTAAAACCTCTTTGGAATCATGAAACTTTGCTGCAAGCTTAGTAGGTTTAGGGTCTGGCCTTTAGAGGCCTAGCATTCTAGGTAAAACTAAAATATTTTAAATGTTGAAAGTAGAATACTGATGCATCTTTTTCTTATTCTGCCCCCTCCCTGTGGGCCTCTTACCTCTATTGTCTCTCATAATGGGACGCTGTTTAGATTGGCCAGGCCCAGGGAATCAGATATCCCAGATTCTGGATTCATGTATTACATTTCAAAAGACTGGATATGCCTGTGTACAATCAGGAAGTCCTGGTGTGGTGCGGTGGGTTAATGTGCTGGACTGCAAAGTTGTTTGAATTGCAAGGTCAGTGGTTCAAGCTCAACAGTCATTCCTTTGGATCAGAACTGACTCAACAGCACTTAACAACAACAACATATACCATAAGGGTTTGCAAACCCCTGAAGACAGGGTAGATTTTGAAATATACACCTATTTTCTTCTTTGGTGATTTCTTTTACAGCCTCCACACCCATTTTCAGCTCTTGCCAAAGACTCTCTTCATCCATGTAGCCCCAAAGTTGGAGGACCTGTAAAACCCTATATGGTAGACCCAGAAAACCAAAAAGTTATCCCAAGTCATCCCAAGGGCTGTGAGGCGAGGGAGGACTGTATGCTCAACCTGGGCAGGACAAGGTCAGTATGTTGGGAAGGCCAGCAGTCATCAGTGTGTGTGTTGGACATGGCCACTCTGTAGCCAAAGGGAACTTCTCGGGAATCCTCCAGCAGACTCCTCAACCCACAGTGCTGGAAATAGACTCCAAGGGCTTAGGACAGGGGTGAGGAAACTTTTGTCTGCCCAGGGCCATTTGGATACTTCAAACATCATTCGTGGGCCATACAAAATTATCAACTTAAAAAGTAGCCTGTTATAATGTGAGCTCTGATAGTGTAGTGGTTACAAAATGGACTGCTAACCTCAAGGTCAGCAGTTCAAAACTACCAGCTGTTCCATGGGAGAAAGATGAGGCTTTCTGCTCCCATAAAGATTTACAGTCTTAGAAACCCTGTAAAGGGTTGCTATGAGTCGGAACCAACTCTCTGACACATAACCACTATCTTAATGTGATGGCTGGAACTGCAATTGCCTTGGTAGGGCCATACCAAATGATTTCATGGGTCCTATATGGTCTGTGGCAGCGTAGTGATTACAAATCGGGCTGTGAACCTCAGGGTCAGCAGTTTGAAACTACCAGCTGTTCCCAGGGAAAAAGATGAGGTTTTCTGTTCCCGTAAAGATTTCCAACCTCAGAAACGCTGTACCGGGTCGCTATGAGTCGGAACCGACTCCACTGCACATAACAACAACAACAACAACATATGGTCTGTGGAGTCCTGGTGTGGCACTGAGGTTAATGCGCTGGACTGCAAGTTTAGTTTGAGCCTCACCCCATACAGGGTCACTATGAGTTGGAACAGACTCAACAGCATTTAGCAACAACATACGGTCTATGGATCAAATGTTCCCCATCCCTAGGTTAGGACAACATTTGTTATTATTGTTAGATCATAGAGAAGTTAATTTGCTCAAGATCACCAGTTAGTGTGCAACAGAATTATAATGCAAACTCATGTCTTCAGACCAAGTGCATTATAAAGGCCAAAGCATTTTTCCAGAAATGCTTTATTTATTCCTAGAAACTCTGAGGTCATGGACCATAATGGACGTTTATTGTACAATGCCAGACACCGTGCCTCATGTAACCTCACACAACTCTTTTTTTGTATGACATTGTACAGAGGAACGAATTGAAACTTAGAGAGACTGTACTACTCCCAATTTGAAGCCAGGAATGGACGCCAACCAGCCTAAAGTGCCCTGTGTTCTACCTCCCAGGCTCTTGGTGGCAACATGCTGTGGGAACTGTACTAACACTTGTGGCATCCTTGATTGGTGGTTAGAGTAATGCACGCCTTTGAGTAATATATATATATATATTTATATATATATATATATTTATAATGAAAAGGAAGCAGTTTAATAAATATTAAATGTAGATTGTGAAAAAAAAAATACATGTTTTTAAGAATCATGGTGTCCATTGAAGGCAAAGAAAAATGGACATTGTGGAGCCCTTGGTGGAAACTCCCCCTCAAACTGCTGTTTGGAACTGGACGCCTTCCTCTCGGCAACCCCCTGCCTGTGTGTCCATCCTAGCCACTGATGGCAAGAAGGTGGAGCAAACAAAGAGGGACAAAGGGCTATTGAGTGGGCTCCATAGAAAGGCCCATCTGTGCAGCCCTGTTTTAAAGCTAAGGGATTGTTTTCCTTGAGACAGTTTACTGCAGCCATTCCCAGTGTTGGTCCTGCTGGGTAGATACTTTGTGGATTTCAAAGCCTTTACATCTTCTCTTGACTTGCTCTGCTTGACAGGCCTGAAGCCCATGCAACCCTGACCAGTCTCAGGGCTAACCGATGGATCAGCGAAGGCACCAGGGCTGTGTCTGTGCACTTTACCCTCTACAACTCTCCCACACAGCTCCTCACCAGTGTGTCTCTAAGGGCAGAGGTGCTCCCCACCGGGCGTCTTCTTTCCTCGTCACAGGTGGAATCAGTCCGTGTCTTCCTCAGTGACTCAGTCCTGAGCTACTGCCTTCTGGTTTCTGAGGTGAGTTCAGGTTAGCTCCTCTTGTCATAGCACACAGGAAGAAGTACTATAGTCAGAACTAGGCTTCCTCACCAGTATTCATCCATCCAGACACTGTAAGCCACATTCCCATTTTGTGGCAGGTGTTATTCGACGTGTTAAGGCACACAATGAAAAAGACCCTGTTGGGAAAACCAATCACCATAAATATGGCCAGTGCAGATAGAAAACTATGTTGCCAAAAAGAATTCATCTTAAGGGGATTAGAACTTATGTCTAGATCCGTCATGTGGGTCTTGGTAAGGTGGACTATGTTTATGGAGCATCACAAAGCAATCAAACGTAGAGAAAGTCATTGTGAACGTTTTCTCAGTGCCTGTTTTTTTTGACTGTTTGCCTATATTTAAGTTTTTATCTATGAAAAACAAAGATTTAATAACATTTCAGGTGAAACATATAGAAAAATTAGGTGGAAAACCAGTTGCCTAAAGAGTTTAACCAATGCCAGTTGTTATCTAGCTGACTCCAACTCATGCTGTAGAACTGTGCTCAGTTTTCAGTGGCTGATTTTTCAAAATCAGGTCTGCAGGCCACTTTTCCAAGGCTCCTCTGGGTATACGCCAACTACCAACCTTTTAGATAATAGATGAAAATATTAAGTATATGCACCACCCAGGGAGTGAAGGTCATGGAAAAACTTAAGGCATTTCAGATTCTGTGGATTAAACAGTGGCAGTTGGGATTGTGGGTAGACGCGTAATGCTCTGCTTCTATGTGAGGATGGAAGGGAAGGCTGGGTAAGGAGGAGGGTTTGGAGTCTACAGCCAGGCAAGCAGAGCACTCACCTTGATTGCCAAACCTTTTACTGTTGTTAGATGCCGTACAGTCGGTTTCAACTCATAGCAACCCTATGTACATGAAACACTACCCAGACCTGTGCTGTCTTCCCAGCTGTCACTGTGTTTGAGACCATTGTTTTAACGACTGTGTCAATCCATCTCTTTGGGTCTTCCTTTTTTGCTGACCCTCTACTTTTCCAGGCATGATGCCCTTCTCCAAAGACAATTCCCTCCTGATGACATGTCCAAAGTATGTGACGTGAGGTCTCAGCAGCCTCACTTTTAAGGAGCATTCTGACTGTACTTTCAGCACAGATTCATTCATTCTTCTGACAGTTCATTGTATAGGAGTATTTAATATTCTACACGAGCACCATAAATGAAAGGAAGCAGTCTTTCAGTGTTCCTTATTCAGTGTCCAGCTTTACCATGCATATGAAGCAACTGAAAAGTGTCCAATCCCAGACCGTTTCAGCTTATGAATGCCTAGGGTATCAATCTTTATGCATCCCATTTCATTTTTGATGAATTCCTATTTTCCTAGATTCTTACTTTGTACAGTCCACATTCTGATTATTAGTGGATGTTTGCAACTATTTCTTCTCATGTTGAGTCATGTCACATCAACAAATGAAGGTCCTTAAGGCTTTGCTCCTCGCACATCATTAAAGTTGACTCTGCTTTGAGGAGGCAGCTCTTCCCCAATTATATTTTTAGTATCTTCCAACCTGAAGGGTTCATCTTCCAACACTATATCAGACAGTGTTCCACTACTTTCATAATGTTTTCAGTGCCTAATTTTTCATAAGTAGATCACCTCTTTCTTTTTTCTTAATCTGTCTTTTTCTGGAAGCTTTGTTGAAAGCTGTTCATCATGATTAATCCTGCTGGTATTTTAAATACTGTGTGGCATAGCTTCCAACATTACAACAACATGTAAGTCACCACAGAACAACAAACATACACATGAGTGGTGGGTTCAAAACTTAAGAGGTTCCAAAAGGTCAGACATCAAGATAAGTAATATCGTGGTGTAATATTTTTTTAATGAAAATTAATGTTAACATTCCATGTTGAACAAAATCTTAATTCAAGACACAGTTAATATTGTTGATTCTTTCTTTTGCCTCAGACTGAAATATGGGTCTGCACAGCACTTTTTAATTTTTTAACACCTTTCCATTAACCACCAAAAATGAACTCTGCTCTGTTTGCATTTGTAACTTCATATAGCAGGCCCATGAGGGACAGTACATACAACCCCCAAAGAAAACAAAAATAATGTATGAGGGGGCCTCAAAAAGTTTGTGGACAAATCCATCCACCTTTAATTCCATTGTCCCACCAACTTTGGAAGCCCTCTTGCATAACGTTTCCTATTAATGTGGTTCAATCCCTTATAAGTTATTTATTAAATTTAAATTTGGGTGACTGAGTACTTTAATGCATGGTTGGAGTTAATAGGAGTGAAAAGGTCAGATGCACAGATACACAAAGGGGAACACGTAAGGTAGAAACAACATTGCAGTCGTTTCTCATTTCCAAAGTACTTTTCCTGTACATTATGTCATTTAAGTTCAACTGTGCAATAGTTACCTCCTTTACTGTTTCAGGCTTAGGAAACTGCAACTCAGAAGTCGTGCCTGATAGGCACTCAGTAATGGCTTTTCTTTCTTTGTCTTGAAATAAACATTAATCTTCACTGATCCCCTCAAGAAGAGACTCTTCTAGCTTAAATGTTTACAAGAACTCTGACTAGACCTCAGACATGTTTAGTCCCTACTGCTATTGTCCATTGTTTTCCTTCTTGTTGTTCTAAATGAATGCATATATGAACAAATGGATAATGCATTGATGTTGTGATGACTACATAAATAGGACATTAAGAAATTCAATTCCTAACAAGTGTAAATTGCTACAATTTGATGAACTTGACCTATACTTACAGTAGCTCAAAATACCAACTGAGAAGGAAGGAGTCTTCACATCAAAGATCAGTCCTACCCCCTCTGTATACAGGATTGATAGGGATAGACAGCTTAGACATTAGCTACCTAAAATAGGGAGGGGCAATAAAGGCATGGGGTGTCTGGCTTACAAGTTTTCAAGAGGGAGTTTAGTTTAAGAGTATGCAGGAGAAGGCAGAACCCCCACTGAATAGTATTCATCTTGTCTAAACGGGTCTGGTGAAAAGAAATGGGGATACGATTCTTATGATTCAATAGTGGATAATTGTCATCATGACTAATTGCAACTGTCACACCGTAAAGGTAGAAATTTTGTAACAAAAAGAGGGGAGTAGTTAATCTTACAGTCCAGGAAGAGGGCTCTAGGATCATCAAGGGAGAAGAGCATGAACAGAATGTGGGACCCTATCCAGAGAAACAATAACACCAGAGATGGAGACAGAAATGAGGGCATGGAGAAACAGAGCAGCTGAGGACTCTAGACTCATGGAAAGAGAAAGGTTCTGTGCTGGTGGCCAGGAGGCAGGCTTGCAGAATGTGTCCTTTGCTTAAATGATTCCTGAATGTTTTTGTGTCCATTCCCCCCTCCAAAACACACACACACACATACACACAAACAATAACAACAACAACAAAACCCAGAGGGAATAGAAGCAAATATTGTTGAATATGATGCATGGAGGAGATTGTAATCATTGCAATGAAACAATGAGTTTAAAACTGATGTTCCCCCATGTAAACTATCACTCAATTCACAATAAAAACTTAAAAAAAAAAAAGAAATTCAATTCCTGATCAATGCACCTTGTGAGCAGACACCATGTCGGTGGAGGCTTGTATGTTTCCATGATGCTAAACAGGTTTCAGTGGAGCTTCCAGCCCAAGATGGCCTACAAAAAAATGTCTGGTGATCTACTTTCAAAAATCAGCCAATGAAAACGTTATGAATCACAGTGATCCAATCTGCAAACAATCATGGGGATGATACAGGCGTGGGCAGCATTTTGCTTCTAGTGTGCATACGGCCCCCATTAGGGACAAACTTGACGGCATCTAACAATACAGATGGTGCCTGTGTGATGCAAATGGTTTGCACTCAACACCTAAAAGTTGGTGCCTTATCCCCCATTCCCCCACCCCCCCAGAAGTTTCACAGAAGAATGGACTGGCAATCCGCTTCCTGAAAACTTACAGCAGAGTGAAGCGCTATGGAGCAGTTCTATGTCTGAGCACATAGGTTCTTCGTGAGTAGGAATTGAACCCGCTGCAGCAGGTTGTTAACATTGTACACACACACAAGTATGTACATATAAACTTATTTTGAAAAGTGCAGAGGAAGAATTGGAAGGCACTGGTGTGGTGGACATGAAATCAAATAGGTGTCTGTATGATGTGTCTTCATAGTCCAGGGCTTCAATGAGTACAGTACCCTCCATGAGTTTGTACCCTTAGTACCTGGCCAAATATGGGTTTATCAGTGTTTGTGCATGAAGAGGGGTACCCTACCCCGACTGCTGTCTAAACAGCAAATTTGTTATCAAAACTCTGAGAAGCAGAAAATTTAATTGTAATAACCACTCAAAAAGTGATTGACGGGGAACTAACCAAAAATTAAGTCCTTAAAAAAGTTGCTAGTATTTTTTTTTTTTCTCTCTCTCTCTCCATCAGCTGGTCTTTCTGGTGCTCAACCTGGTTCACCTCTGTTTTCAAGTCTTCAATATGGTTGAGAAAGGCATCCTCAACTACTGGCGAAAACCGAGCAACTGGCCAGAGGTAGGCTCTCCTATCATTTCCTTCAAAAAAAAAAATTAAAAATATTTATATTTATCTGAAACTAAATGATCAGAATGGAAATGCACATGCTAATTCTAACATTATCGGGGATGCCAAGGCCATCCCTTTTCTTGAGAATGTCTCTAAATGAACCCTGTCTGTTCAATGTTTCAGCTTTCTGTGGTTGGACTGAGCCTTGCCTACTATTCAGCCTCCAGTCATCTTCTTGTTCTTGCTGGAGATGTTATCGACCAGTTTCATAAGGGATTTTTTCAAGAATTTATTGATCTCCGTCTTATTGCATCGTGGAATGAGGTATGCAACAGGAATAGGAGTTATTGCATCCCAAAGAAGAGATAATAAATAAAGTTCTAGAAGTGAGATAGTGGGCCCATTTACACAGGATGATAATGCCCCATTCTTGAAAACAAAAGTGCCTTTGATAAGGAAAGACCTGAAACCCTTAGGACATACATTGCAAGTATGTGCGGCATAGTATCAAGAACATAGAACAATTCAATTAACAACTACAAGGAAGCAAATTTTGATGTAACATAAAGAAAGAGACCACCATTCATTTATTGAGATGCATCATGTCTGTTTCTCTTTGTGCTAAAACCAGTCCTCCAAGTAAAGTTGTTATCCCCTTTCCAAGTGAAGACTGAGGCTCAAGGAGAAGCCCAGGTACCACAGTAGGTAGGAGCCCAGTGTCAAAGTCCTTGTTACTCTATAACCTAGGGCCTAGCTTTCCCACAGGAATGGATGGAACTCGCAAGACCAGCGACAGGTATGGGTTTCATATCTAGGTGATGGTAGTGGTGTGCCATGGCGTCGGTTCCAACTCATAGAGACCCTGTACAGGGTTTCCGAGGCTGTAAATCTTTCTCCCAGCCGGTAGTTTGGAACTGCTGACTTTGAGGTTAGCAGCCCAATTCGTAACCACTACGCTAGCAGAACTCCTTCATATCGTGGTAGTCAGCTGGAAATGACCAAACCTGGGAGAAGTGGAGTAATCATATCTGGGAGGGTAATTGTACCAATACTCTATAGGTCCTGAGCTGAAGTGTGGAGTCAAGCCCACGTATTCACAGTTAGTTTATCCTCTCCTATTCTGCTTTTCTCCCTGGCCCTTCCTTCCCATCCAATCAGAAGGCTGTCAAGACCCCAGCCATCCCATAGGCCCTGCATATCCTCACACCCCAGGGCTGCACTTGGTCCCAGAGCAACACAGAAGCGGCTTATACTAAGGTGGTGTAAGGACAAGTTCTGCTCCAGCTTCAGTCTGTAATTACCCAGCTCCACCTCAGCCAAATAACTTCCGTGCTCCCTTCCCTCTGCTTTATTCTGTGGTCTTGGCCCCTGACCCCACCCACCTGTCTGTGCTAGTGGGAGACCTGCTTTATATGAGGTTCTTGCTCCTCTTGCTCTTATGCTTCCTCCACTGAAACCTAATCAGTTTCCTGGTGGTTTTTGATGGTGTCACTTGTGGAGAGCCACAGATGCTTCCTGCCTAAAGGGAGAAATACAGGGCTCTGAGGGAGCCCAAGTAGGGTAGTCAAGATTTGTGGGGTCTAAAGTCTTTCAAATGTGGGGCTCCTTCTTAAAGGAAAGAATAGAGTATCTTACTTATTCAAATTTACTAAAGCAACAAGGGGCCCTGGAAAAGTCAAGCTGTGAGTCTAGGGTAAGACACCTGGTGGAGTTTTGAGATAACTGAAATGAGATCAGATCGGCATCCACTCTTCCCCACTAACAACTTCATTAATATCACCACCTTCTGTAGACTTCACTTCTCCTCTCTTCTCATCTTTACTCCTCATGAAGCTTATTGCCCATCGTTTTCACAAGACTACTCCGTGAGGGGTGAGCAGTATCTGTCCAGTACTGTTTCACTGGCATCAAGATTAGTGCCTGATGCGGAGTTGTTGTTGTTGTTGTTAGGTACCATCAAGTCATTTCTGACTCTCAGTGACCCTATGCACAATAGAATGAAACATTGCCAGGTTCTTCGTCATCCTCACAATCGTTATGCTTGGGTCCATTGCTGCTGCCACTGTGCTGATCCAACTCATTGGGGGTCTTCTCTTTCACCGACCTTCCACTTTACTAAGCATGATGTCCTTCTCCTGATAACAGACCCAAAGTGTGAGAGACAAAGGTTCACCATCCTGGCTTCTAAGGAGCATTCTGTCTATACTTCTTCCTACACCATTTTGTTTGTTCTTCTGAAAGTCCCAGGTACGTTTAATATTCTTCTCCAACACCATAACTCATATGCATCAATTCTGCATTCTTCCTTATTCCTTAGTGTCTCCAACACTGACATACATACTTGGCTTGAGTCAGACACAGCTCAGTCATCAAACTGTTATCTTTGCTTTTGAACAAAGAGGTCTTGTGCAGCAGCTTTGCCTAGTGCAATATGTGTTTTGATTTCTTGACTGCTGCTTCCACAAGTGTTGGTTGTGGATCCAACCAAAGTGAAGTCTGATACGTTCAATCTTTTCTCCATTTATTGTGATTTTATTTTA